CTGTTTCTTCTAATGCTACAGTCCAACTAGAATTATTTACTACTATTCAAACTTTAAACATCAGGTTTACTCCTTTTAGATACCATTGTCATACTTCCTTATCTAATGGCAGCATTCGACCAGCATGAACTTCTGCAAGCCTCCATCAATTTTGAGCTTCACCTTCACTAACTATATATAACTTGTAAATTAATACATCTTTTCTTCTATTTTGTTTACCATTGAAATGGTCATATTTAAGATGTTGGTGCCAGGATTCAAGCATATTCGTTATGTCCATATTCGCATAAAACGTTTCAGTACAGTAGGCTTTGATCCACATCATTTGATCAATACCATTTTCTTCTATCTGATTTAATCATTGTTGCTTAAAATAAGTAATGAATAATGTTGAATCTTTCCACTTTTCTAAAAATAGTACAATACTACTATCAACGCTTGTAATATCATTATTTCGCATCAAGTGCTTCATATCAGCTAAGACCTCCTCTTTTAGCATTTTTTTCTCTACAGCATCTAATTTACGGTTCATAATTTCTTCATTATCCTTACATGCTTTTCTTATATTTTCTTGCCAAGCTCTCATTAGATGCCACCAGTAGATAAAAATTTTACTTTCAGGGAATACTATGTGAAGTGCCTTTATTTGTGCAGAGTCGCAGTCTACGAGAAATACTGTAGATCCTATCCAATCGAAAAATTGTCGACGAAGGCATTGAAGCTAATATTGAATTGATTTGGTATTTTTTCTAAAAGAAAGAAGATGAGCAAGTGGAACCCCTTTACCAATTTTAGGATCAGGCAAAAGTAAGGTAAACAAAAGATTGTTATCTTTATTTGTCCCATGTATTGAATCGAGAATGATTGTCAACACATCTTGAATAATTTCTCTTCCAATAGGGATAATAAATCTAAAAAGTCTTCCATTAACATCTTCCGGCCAAGGAACTGAACATGTGAGGTCATGATTTTCTTCAATTTTAAATTTCCAAAGTTCTAAGCTTTGACTTTCCGATTTATGTAACATTTTTTCTTCTATTACTACTTCTTTCCAAATATTATATACATCGTTTCATGTAACTAAACTGTCCCTAATTTTAATAATGTTGTCTGGTGTTTGCTCTTTCCAAGTTTTCTCCATATTACAAGCTCTTTTTTGAAATAATCAGCATATCCCGCTAATATTTAACTCAGCACGAATATTATTAGCAATCCATTCTCGAACTTTTGAAGAAATTCTTAATGTCCCTATATCCTCGACAGAACCAGAAATATGACCTGAATGTGTTATGTATTTTACAATCATTTGTGGCATACTAGGACCACTGGTTTTAGTAACAATTAGTTGTGATTTGCAGCTGCATTTTATAGATTTTTTTTAATTTTCCTTGATTTTTTATCACTTAGATCATTTCCAGCTACACTTTCATATGTTCTTCCACAGTGACACTTATAGAAGATACGAATTCTATTTACTAGATGATCCTTATGACATTTTATATATTTTGATGCCGTTGCAGTTTCAAACTCTTTAATCCAACTTTCAATATCAGTATTTAGCGGAAAAAGATATTCTGAGCCTTCTAAAAGATTTCCTCAGTGCGATCCCTCTTCACAAACCAATTGTATAGCCTCTGATGGTAAAAGTTCTTTGGGGATTGATGAATTTGTATCTAGATCTTCACGTAATTTAGTTATAAATTGATCGAATTTGTCAAACAGTCCATCAAGCAGTATTTCATTGTCATTTGCAAGTTCATTAGCATCGATAATTTGAATGGTGGTATCTGTTATTTTTATTTTTTTATTAATAAAATTATAACTAATCTTTAATTGACTTGATTGAGTTGATTATGATAATTACTAGGGTATAAATTCAGAAATATAACTCGCGCAAGATAACAAAAATATTATAGTCAACTTTCTTTAAATGCAATTTGTCAGGACCTGACTTTTAGCAATATATGTTTAGAGAAAAAATTGTATTTATAAAGATTAAACATATACAGAGAATCCTCATTAATATTAACCTACAGTCAACTCTGGATATAACGAACCTTCTATAACGAACTCTGGATATAATGAATTCAAAAATTTTGAAATTTCATAATAGTTCGCTATAAAAAATGGCATAGATTCTTAAAAAAACATAGTAATTTCCCTATAATGAACTTTTTTTTCTTCCAGAATCTTTAGTTCATTATAGAAAGAGTTGACTGTATTTGAATTGCTTTTCTATTCATGTTGATAATGATATTAGTGAGGGATCATATTAAAAATTGATATATATGAGGGAATTTTAATATTTTATAGCTTAGGCTGATATTAATGAGGATCCTCTGTACATACATTTGGGTCAGAACTTAAAGTTGTATTTGAAAATGTTGCACTTAGAAAGAGTTGACTATAATTTGATTTTGTATAGCTTTGTGTTCATTAAATAATCAAAAACTCAAAAAATCAATTCCTATTACAAGTCAAACACATTATTCATTATAACGAGTAACTTGTATATGGCTTGCAAGAAATCACGCAAGATAGAGCTTTTCCTCTGTATGAGGTACAATTTTAATTATTGCATACATACTAGGTGTTAACGCAGTTTCCGAAGTTTGACAGCTTGTTGATGCAGTAGCTTCCATTTTTTTTAAATAAAATTTGATTTGAAACTATTTTTGTGTGAATAAGCAAAATTTAAATGATAAATAAAAAATTATTTTTATCAAGGAGTTTTAAGAACTTTACTGATATTAAAAACTCAAATCTTTTATATAATTTTTATTACATAAACTTTTTCTCAAATACACTTTATTCTATCTTATATTTGTTTAAAATTTACATTAACATTCGTGCTTTATCTATAGTACTTGTGACATGAACTTTAGCTGAAACTCAAATCAATAAAATGAAAACAAGAAAAGCTAAAACAGTTACAAGAAAAGGAAAAAGAAGAGCGAATAAAGAAAAAGAAAAAAATTAAAAAAAAAAAAACAGTAAACAGAAAACAATGAAAAAAAATCAACAAAATAAGAACAAGAAAAAGGAAAAAGAAAAAAAAAAAGAAAAAAAGAAATAAATGAATGAAAAAAGGAATAATGAACAAAAGGAGTAAACCTGATGTTTAAAGTTTGAATAGTAGTAAATAATTCTAGTTGGACTGTAGCATTAGAAGAAACAG